GGCCTAGAAATGATCTGACCTCGAACAGTGTTTTAGGTTCTGGATACTCTTGTATTGCCCTAACCTTTTCGGGATCCGTCGTGGCGCCAGTGCTGGTGACTATGAAACCAAGAAAGTTCACGCTTTTCTTAAAAAAACGTGATTTTTCGACGGAGACCCTCATGTTTGCTTCAAATAAGCTTTTTAGGACCCAATCCACGTGTTTAATGTGGGATTCCTCATCTTCTGAAAAGATGATTACGTCATCGACATAAACATAGCAGAATTTGCCAATCTGCTCTCGCAGTATGTCGTCGATGGTTCTTTGGAAGATGCTTGCTGCATTCTTTAATCCAAAGGGGAGTCTTTTGAACTCGTATTTCCCCCCGTTCACAGAGAAAGCGGTTTTTTCACGGTCGCGTTCAGCGAGTATGATCTGGTGATATCCAGACTTGAGGTCTAATGTTGAAAAGAATTTGGCTCTTCCCAAATTCCCCAATATCATTGATATATTTGGTATAGGGTATTTGTCAGGCACGGTTCTTTCGTTAAGTTTACGAAAGTCCATTACCAACCTCATTTTCCTATTGCCTGCTTCATCAGTACCCTTCTTGTCTACTACCCATATTGGGTTATTGTAGGGAGAGACGGACTTTTGAATTATATCATTTTTTAGCAGATCTTTGATTTCTTTGTTAACGAAATCAGCTGCTCCCATTGGATATGGGTAAAGCTTGGCATAGATCGGTTGCTCATCTGTGGTCCTAATGGTAGCCACGACTGATGTGTTATACGGCAACGCCTCGTCTGGGTCCGCAAAGGCCTTTTGTCTAGCTTTTAGCATTTTCAAAAAAGAACTTCTAGCTAAAGGGGATGCCTCTGCACAGTCTACATTCGTGAAATTTACATTTTTGCACGTGTGGAAGGTGATTTGTTCGACCTCCGTACCCCACTTAAGTTGTCCTGAAGCTAGACAAAGCGAAGCAGCTGCCTGCTTTAGCAGGTCAAGGCCTACAATCCCATCAAAAGTTGATAAGTCCGGCAGAATAAAAAAGGTTGCCTTTAACCCAAACATTGAAACAAAGCATTTGTGTGTGATTTGTGTCTCGCCGTGAATGGAATGAATTTTAAAGGGGGACTCTACCGAGCGGACGCCTTTCAACCCCTCGTGTGGCCGAATGAAATTCTTGGCCGCGCCCGTGTCTATGAGGAATCGCATGTCAGTCCCTGCTACTCTTCGTCTGATGACGGGTAGCAGGGATTTGCTCCTAAAAAATTGAGGGCTTCAGAGTCATAACTATCGTCATTGATTTGTGCCGCTGCGCTAGAGGCGGCATCAGCATACGCCTCTGCCCCCTGTCCCACGTCTTGTGTGACGTGATTCAGCCTCTGCTGATTCCTCTGACCGCTTGTGCGGTCAGATGCGGGGTGCTTCCTATTCGCGTAAGCAGGGGCCTGAGTGGGCTGCAAGACCCTTGAGAAGGAAGGATCGACCTCCATGGGCACCGGTGCGCCATTATTATTGTGCTGCCTGTTGCTTCGTTGGTCAGACTGCACTGGGGCCCTGCTTTGCTTGCTAAAGTGCGGATTCTTTGTACCGCTAGCTTGTGTTTCGGCTTGTTGCGAATGCCTCTCCTGTTGGTGACCCTGTGCTTTTGCATGCGGCTTGCGCTCTTTGTCTTCTAGACTTTTTGCGAAGTTAGCCGCGAATGCGTACCTTTCATGGTTTGACTCGACTTCTTGTGCGAGAGCTAGTGCTGAAGGCAAATCTCTGGGCTTTGCTGCAAAGAGCACGTCTGTAAGACTGCGCTTGAGACCCGATATGAACACACGCAACGCATCGTCGCGGAATTTTTCACATAGGCCCTTTGCTAAAGCCGGCTCATATGACATGTTAACTTTGTTAGTGAGAAGAGCGAGTTTCTTCTCCACCTCATCGTAATATTGAAGCAGGGACAGGCCACCTTGCCTCAAGGTACCTAATTCCTGTTCAATGACATGAATTGGTCTCTTGTCACTGTATGTGAAATCTAGGCGATTTATTATCGCATCAAAATTCAGTACAGTACCAAATGAGGCCAGCACCGCGTCTGCGGGGCCCCTAATCTTGCTTCTTATAATGATGACAGCCTGATAATGACGAGAACTGCCATTATGTGGTCTGAAGATCTCGTAAGCGGCTAATGCTGCCTGCCTCCAAGATACATAAGATTCCTGTGCTCCTGCGAACTCAGGTAAGCACTTGACGGCATCTAGCGGCTCGTCACAGTGAATATCGTTTCTAATTTCTATAGCAGAATATGCTACTACTTGTGGGGTGGCAAAGCTTGTTGCTGCTATTTGTTTAGCTAACTCATTAATTCTTTGAGTCAATGCTTGCTCCCTCTGCTGGTTTGCAGCGGCCTGTTCGGCTAAGGCATTGCTGATGGCCGTTCTTACTACTTCCCTAAGCTGATCTGGATCCATTCTATCTGATGGTGGAGGAACTGCCGGTATAAGTCTTGTAGACGGAACTCTGATACGAGTGTCACAGTCGGAATCTGAGTCGCTAGATTGCTCGCGAGGGCTTCTATATTGGCTGAACCGTGGCATGCGCAGGCCAGTGGCCGCGAAAAATTAAACGGGCCGTCAAAAGATGGGTCGAATTAGACACATAGAAAGTAACACTAAGTATTTTTATCAGCCTAAATTCTCAGAGCAGCCACTCTCACGTATTTCAGAAACTTGGTTCTGATTATTATAATCTAATCTGTTGCAATACGAAATACTCACTAGTACTAACAAATTTTTTATAAAGTAAATTTAAGAAATTTTGTGTTTGAAAAAAAATGTTGGCTGGAGTATCCACTTACATGATTTAAATTCCAAAAAAAAAAAAATTTTTTTTTTTTTTTTTTTTTTTTTTTTTTTTTTTTTTTTTTTTTTTTTTTTACGTTGGGCGCCAATTAATATGTTGCTGGTCCAGCGATGAACTAGGCGTCGGTGGCAGGTCCAGCGTTGATCGGGTATTTATAGTCTTAATCAATAAGTTGCTGGTCCAGCGATGAGCTAGGCGTCGGTGGCAGGTCCAGCGTTGATCGGGTAATTATAATCTTCTTATGATGATTATGTTGGAGGGTTTGACTTCACCCCCTTTTCTATTAACTGGCCTTGTGGCTCAGCAATGATCAGAAATATAACAATTTGATTACGGCGGTGTGCCGGAGTAGTGCGGGTTTATTCTTCAAACTCCAATACAAAACTGATTTTTAGCTACATAGAATATTTCACTTAAGCTAAGCCAAAACTCGCATCACACCACAATGTCATGGTCGGCAAGCCGACTCAGCAATCTTAGGCAATAACGGAAACTCTTGCAGTAAACAAAAGTATCTGGTTACCGCCGCTGACCATTGCAGTTATAGCGCGCTGATACAAAGTATGCAGTGTCGCAATTGCGAGGGCTGTTTCTTAACTTACGAAACACGCGATAGCGAGGGTTGATTATAAACTTATGAAATACCCTATATTAAATGTTATGTGTTAACTTATATATATGATTTAGTGATTGATTGACTCAGAAACAAACTGACTGATGAGCAACTGATTACTCAAGATCTATAAAAACAAATAACTTATGCACACAACGAATTTCCGTTTTTAGAACGGAACCCCACAATGTAATTATTATTATAAAAAAGATAAAAGTAAATGGGAGCAGCGCGTTGCTCACATTTTTGGGTGACAGTTCGTTCAACCCGTTCGCTCAAATCATATAAAAAGATGCGTGCATCGTGCAATATGTGGGAGTTAAATGCGTTTAGGTTGTCAGCCTCGACTTCTGAGTGGCACACGCTGCGTATGAGTTATTTTTAGAGCAGCTGTATTGAATGAAACTTGGCAAAGTGCAGCAAAGATTGATGGAGATCAACGGCAAGCGGCAAAAAGCAAATCTTTGATAATTTCCTATTAGCCAGCTGTCTTAAGGTGTCCCAACACGCGGCGTATACGTAATCTGCGCAGTGAGTCAATTGTTTAATGAAATCCCAGACTAATGAAGTATTGTTTAGAGAAATCTTTGTTTATATATAGATATTGATACAACTGAAGTGTTTTTGAGTGCTATTTACAAATTGAACTTGACTTTTGCTTCTGGCTAAAAGCTGTAGACAAGTATTTAACTGTGCGAAACGTGCAGTGCAATCAGTGCTATAGATCAAACTAGCTATTTATCTATTATAAAAAAAAAATATATATATATATATATATATATATATATGTATATATGTGTATGTTAATAATCATATTATGAAAAAACATTCATTGATGTGCCATCATTTGCGTCTTTTGCCAATGATTTATTTCCATCTCTTGCTGGCGCGATACGTTCAATGTAAATATTTACAGCGTTTATTTTTGTACAATTTTACAAATTGTAATATATAAATATCTATCTATATATATAACATACATACATACATAGTACACTTGCAAGTATTATGAAACAGTTTCTAAATACATACATTGCGCCATCTATACGATCATACATTAGAGTTGGAAAATTGAGTAGTTGACAAACGTTTCTTATTGGTCAGTAGTTACGCACTCACTCTTGATTGGCTGCTGATTCGCTGAATAGCACGAATCATTCAAGATGATTGAACAAAATGAATCAGTAAAGATCTAAAGAACCAAGTGCAAATAGAGTCACGTTGAGCCGTTCCACTGAACTTGCTTAGTAGCTCATTTTAGTGACACGTTCAATTGAGCACATACACGCAACTCTAAAAGACACACTCACAAGCACACATACACACACATGTATACATATATATATATAAGAGATACTTAAGTGAGGAAGTTGTTAATGCGAGTTAATAGCGCGTAAATTGATATCGTTTAAATGAACTGGGGTAGCTTTTTGGCAAAACGAACTAATGAAAATGTCGCACATTGTATGAAATCATCAACTCAAATATATTATTTAACTAATTGCTCAAAATAAAAAACTTTAATTTTGTTGCCAAGTGCATTGCACTTACTGCAAACGGTTGCACACACTCTCCCGCTTGTTCAGCCAGATTGAAAACGAAATTGAAATCGAAATTGTATTTAAACTGAGTTGGCTTCCTTTGAATATGCAGAGATACGAACAAACGACACTCAGCCAAACGGGCACGCGGTCCAAATGGAAATGATCATTCACGAGCGATTCGCATTCGGTTTTGTCAAACAAATCTCTGCGCTGCTTTGTGCGCGTGGGTGTGTGGCAGTAAAGAAGGTGTGTATTCATTGTTGTGGGTTTATTTGTCTCTCAGCTTTTGTGTTTTGTTCGCTTTTCCCACATTCAGTTTTAATCACTTATTTATTGCTAACAGAAATTTTCCAAAGAAAATCTAAAAAAATATAATGTACCTGACCCTTTTCAATTGAAAAAGTTATAAATAGAAAACATATAAATATATATATATAAAAGAAATTTAAATTACGCAGATCTAGATTTAGATTGATTATATGTATATATAAATAGATAATACAGTTTATATCTAGGAGCTGCTGTACAAGGCAATTTATTGATTTCATTATAACAGTGATTGATTAAAAATATTTCCTAGTTAAAAAGAATTTAAAATTTTACTATGTATCTTTTAGTTGTGCGCTATGCTTTTTTCACTATATACTACGTACTTATTGCTATATATATATATATATATATATATATATATCACAAATTCGGATATTATCTTTGCTTCGGATACTAGTCGAAAAAACCTATGCATTAATTAAATAAATATATATATATATATATTCCTAAGTGTACTCTTATACGGAAGTGTAGTAAAAATTGTGTCCTGTAATGTGGAAGTATTTGGGTCTTTCGCTTGATCATAAATTTACTTAAGGCTAATCTATATATTAAGCTTGAAGCCTAAAAAGCATTTCGAAGTAGTTTAATTTTAATCAGAGATGCGACATCTGGAACAAACAGCCTTTAATTTCAGCATGTATCAAATATTCGCAAAAATACTAATACATGTATGATCCTTTGTGCGTGTGCGCACAGAAAATCAATTTTCAAGATGAGTCAACTGTTTGATACCCTTTCCAGCGAAAATCATGCATAAATTAAATTTTTGTGTGACTCTCTCAAACACTTTCTGCTATTTTGCAAAGCCCCGCACTCAAAAGGGAAAGGGTGCTTGCTATGTGTGCTTACATAGATACACACATGCAAACATTTGAGCGCGCCATAGAGAGAGTGCAAAAATTGAGTGAGAGCTGTTGAGAGAGCGAATGGCTATCTCGCTCGATCGCATTAGGTTTATGACCCATGCTCACTGAGCTTACGAGAAAATAAAGGGGAACAGCATATACGAAATTAATCCATTGAAATTGGATAAACCGAGCAAGTTATGCTGTGACAGAAGTCGCATCAATATGTATGTACGTTTAGTGGTAGTTGTTTTCAATAATTGTTCAGAGTATCACAATCTTATACTTGCAAATAGCGATAGCTACCGACTGAGCCGGCGCGATAATTGGTCTCGCTTAGTTTTATATATTGACCCAAGAAATTTAACACCCACGCGCTGCGACAGATATTATGCAGATAGCCCAGCAGATAGGGCGTTAGGATAGTGCCCACAATGTAGGCTAGTTGTGGAATGTGTTCCGTGTGATCATAGAAGGGCCAAAACCAATATCCCCGTCGCACTGCGTCCCTTGTATGATGCGTGATGAAGGCACAGAGCAGAGCACCCAACAATAGGCTGCTGCGAAAGTAATTCAGGCACGCGGTGCATATATAAAATAACAACATGGCCAAAATAATGCTGGAACAGTGCAAAAAAGGACGACGCATCAGATTGGTGGCATCCTGCAATGTAAAATTACCGTGATTTACATAATAGCCGAGTTCAAGGTAGTTAATAACCCACCTCCAAGTACAGTGAACGCGCCTCTATGAAGTGATCCAAGTCAATAAACGAGGAAACGACAAAACACGTGAAAATCAATATCCATCCATATAGTTGAGTCGTACGCTCATAAAATTGCATGGCAAATGCAATGCCCGTTAGGGCTCCAATTGCGGCATGCGTTGCATTATCTGCCAATGCCTTAAGCAGGGGATGCTGGGTGAGTTCTACAAAATTGTCCCCAAGCAGGCAGGTTATGGTCACCAGTGTAGTGAGCACAATGCGTAAGTAGACCATTGTGTGGCAGTGGGGCATCGATTGCACCTGCTTGCTGCTTCTCTGCACCTCTGCTGATGGTTACCTGGACTTGAATTAGCTATGGACGGCAGCGTTGCTCTTCAGTAATTGGTTGTTGTTGTTGTTTCGCCAAACGGTGCACACATTGCACGATCAATAATTTGTTGGTCAATCTATAGTTAGAATTTGCTGTGTGGATAAATAAATTTGCTTACTGTTAAGTGTGCATTGGCTTTTATGTCACTCACGTGTTTTGGCGTGCCTGCAAAGACAACAACTGCATTGTAGCAGGGTGTGGGGTATTTTTTGGGGGTTGCAAGTACACGTACACCATTACGTTGACTCTTTGATGTCACAACAACAACAAGCGGCATTTTTATTTGGGGCCTAAGGTCTGCCCCTCTAATGTTTTGATTTGTCGAACAGATGTGAAGTGGGAAGCGGCAGGAGGCTGGAGCTGCAATACATCTGGCAGCACTAACATTACGTATGGTTTGGTCACACTGAAGTAAGAACAGCTGTTTATTTAGCACTAAATTTGGCCTCAGTATATATTGCAGCTGTTTTCCTACATTTAAGCATAGTTTTTAATAATTCAGTGTAACGAGAATTTTACTGAATCTATATGCGAAAATCAATATGTTGGCTGTGTGGTTTTTCAGCATACACAACCGACTAAAAATTATGTGAGTTAGAATTAACATATGTCGCACATCTGGCAGCACTAAAGTTGCCCTTGGTCTGTCCGCGCTAACAACACTAGCAACAACAGCTGTTTATTGAGCGCTACAACGATGTATTTCAAAAACTGTAAAATTGCAAATTGCCTTTATGTACAGCTCTTATACATCCTATTTATGTATATTTATCATTTATAAATAATTCGAATGGGAATTTAATATATTTAACGTATAGAGGATATTCACAAAAGAGCAGTGGAATTTTCCATAAGTATACGATGACTTTCAGTAAAAGCTCTTTCATTCTCGCTCGCTCTAATAAGCTTGATCACGACATGGATGTGTGGGTGTATTTTTGATCAGAGTGATGACGTCTAATCGTAATAACTTATAATTTTTGATTTCCTATAAAGTTGCTGAACAAATTAGGCATCTATAATTATATATATATATACGTATATGCATTCATTCTGTATTTAATTATATTTTTTACATATATAATTATGTGTTTTCAAAATAAAAAAATTATTTAATAAGGAATATTAAATGGATAATTTTTGCTTTTAATAGCATGTTCCATTTTAATAAGACGCTCTCCTGTATTATAAGTGTCCAGTACTGCATGATCCGCTGCAGTAAGTTTGAAATCGAAAATATTGAAATTTTCCTCAATGCGCTTCGGATTAGAAGACTTGGGCAGAGGCACAGTTCCGATCTCGATCTACAGCCATTATATTTATATATTTTAAAGAATATATTCCACTATTTTAATTGCTTACCAGATAACGGAGCACTATCTGCGCCGTGGACTTTTTGTATTTATCGGCGATGGCCTGCACCTTGGCATCGTATATGAAGCTTGGTTGCTTCTTGGCAGGATCTGGCCTGCCCAGCGGACAGTAGGCGGTGACTACAATATTGTGTTGCTTACATAACGCAATCAGTGGCTTCTGATTGAGGGCCGGGTGACATTCGATCTATAGAGGAGATATGTGATATGTTAGGGTTGACCACTAATCATATAAGAAACTTTTATAGCACTTATAATCTATGCGGTGGGTCTTACTTCCACTTCGTATTTGCTCGCTTCTCTTATACTCTCTCATTCTCCCTCGTATACATAGAAATATATACTAGCAGAAGTACTAGCATGTGTGAGTGTGCATGCGCGTGTGTGCATGTGCGTGCATGCTCGCCTCCAGAAATTTATTTATCAAGCGTGTCAAAGCTGTGATGACCTCTCGAAGAATGAATATGCAAAAATAAAACTGATATGTGAGTGTGGCACAACCGTTAAGTATTTCGCAATACTTCGCACTCAAAACGTAAAGGGTGCGTTACTTATGCATGCATACACAATTGAGTGAGTGCAATTGAGTGTAAGTTAAAATTGTTAGGCAGTGTGACCAGATGTCTCGCTCGATCTTTGAGAGCGAAGTAAACTTGAGACGAGCAAATACGAAATTGAGATATTTTGTTTGTTCTGGCAAGCCCTAAGTATTGTAACCGCAGTTGTCTAACCTGATTATGTATCGGCTTGATTTTGCAGTTAGCTAAGAGGCGAGTCAGCTGCTCGGAATTGAAATTGGAAACGCCAATGCCTTTGGTCAGGCCCAGCTCCACGAGCTTTTCCATAGCACGCCAGGTGTCCAGGTAATCGACATCGCTAAGTTGATTAGAAGATTAACATATAATCGTTAGGGCAACTGCTTGACTTACCTGAGCTCCACCTCGCCTTTGGCATCGGTGGGCATCATCTCATTATCGCCGCGATAGACATAGGAGTAGGGCCAGTGCATTAGGTAGAGATCCACATAGTCTAGTCCAAAGTTTTGCAGCGTCTTACGGCAGGCGTATTCCACTTTCTCCGGCTCATGGAAGTGGCACCAAAGCTGTTCCAATATAAAACATACCTGTCACATACTTGTCAGCTGGACAGACAGTTTGCTGCTCACCTTGGTGGTTATGAAGATGTCCTTGCGCTGGATGACGCCTTCGGCTATCTTCTGCTGTACCGCCTTCCCCACCTCACCCTCGTTCTCGTAGAAATAGGCGGTGTCTATATGCCGGTAGCCGACGTCAATTGCATGTAATGTTGCCCTCTCACAATCCCCACCCAGCGACTGTGAACAAGTCAATTATCATTGTCTGGCTGTCTCTCTCTCTCTCCCTCTTCCTCTCTAGCAGCTGATAAGCTTTTCACTTATAACTAATAACTGATCTGAAATACTTGCCGTGTACGTGCCTAAGCCAATTGACTGGACTTGGGTTCCGTTGTTATTTTTGACATACGAAGCTTTGCTCGCGGACATCTTGCAAATTCTCTGGCAGCTGCCTTTCAACTGTTGCTCGAATTGAGCGCGCACTCAGCTTTTATATACGTTGCTCTCCGAAAGCTTTTGTGTGCTAAAAAAGTTTTGTTCCAAGAATTATTCGCTTGAGTTAATCAGACTGCGACGACATTTAAAATCCGCTAAATGGAACTAAATGTACTAAAAAGTTGATTTATAATTATTAAAGTATTTGGACTAAAAGGACTGATAAAACTATACTGCATAAAAAATATTGAATAGAAAAGAGAAAAGTTAAGAACAAAGTCCTAAATTAAATATTGTATAAATAATAATTAGTAAAAATAAGTGCTAAACCAGAAAAACGAAGCACTAAATTATACAATATGGGCTAAATCACAAAAAATAAATCAAACTTAATAAGTAATGTAAATACAAATTTATTTTGAAAGTTAATGTGTCACGCAAGATACTAAAGAATACTTAGGTTAGGAATTGATTTATATTGTCGGTATTTCATCAGTATTTTCTTATTTGGTTAGTGTCTTAAGCTTTTACGCTTGAGTATTCTGATATGGGGCTTTCTCTACCGTTATGGCGCGCATGCTTTAGCTTTAGCTTTAGCAGCTGAAACAATTTGGTATTGAAACAACATCTGTTATTCAAAGTGGCACAATGTAAGGCAGCAGGAGTCCATAGTCCAAAGTCCTGGCCATTCCATCGTCTCAAATGCCAGCACATTTGGCCCGTGTGGAACGCAGAGCAAAGGAATTTATGAGAATATATTGAAATTAATTAATTTACCAGGTGAATATTTACAGTTAAAGTGTGAATTTAAGTGAACTATAAAAAAAATAATATTTTAATATTATTAAAAAAAGCAAGTCTTTATGTTGTAAAGAAAATTTAACAAAAAAAAGAGAATTTATCCAGATAGAATGAGCTATATATAGAATGCGCTATATATAAAATACCTTTTTAAAATTTTTATTTAATTAAATGTAATTAAAAATTGTTTCATAAAAATATGTTTTATTTGCTATAGAAATGCGCATCTGAAAATTATTTGTATAGTAATTTTTTATATATTTTTTATTAGTATACGCAGCACGCCTTCAGCTGCGCATGCCCCAAACCCAGTCGAGGCCGAGACCAAGCAGCAGGTGCAAGTGGGAGGGCGAGGGCAACGCCTCACTGCTGTGAAAACTCAAGGCTACTTCGATTTAGACTCGGTTTGGATTGCCATAGGTTAGACTTCTGCGATTGGATTCGAATTGGATTCTCATTTAAGCACTGGCTACTCTTCTACATGCTGCAGAGGCTCCAGTTTACTTTGAGTCAGATACGTATTAGATGCAATTCACTTCAATTCGGAATCTGATTGGATTGCACTATGCTCTGGTGACTCTTATAAATTTGTGATAACTTAAAATTGTATGCTGTACTTAATATTTCATTGATTGGATTGGATACTCTTATACAAGATTGAAGACTCTGTTGGACTTGGAACAAGATTCAAGTGAGCTTTATATTTACACATCGGTTAGACGTGGAAATACTTGAAATTACTTGGAGCTTAATTTTAATTTAAATCTCAGTACTCTCCACTCTTGGCTACTTTGAAATCTGTGCTGACTGTCAGATGAATTTAATTTATACATACAGAAACTAATATGATTCCCATTTAGAAACTGGGCTCTCTTATACATGTGTGCAAATTCAAAGCAACTTCGAATTGCTTTCTAATTGGATTCCAAGTGGAAAGATGGCAACTGTAGCACATGGCTGCAGCAGTCCACGGCAGCGCTCGTGCAATGGCAGCAGCTCACCTGGCGGCCATCACAGTTCGACACCGGCGATGTATACAACAATGCCCAAATATACGCGCACTGCCAGTCAAACGTTGTATGCAACCAGCCAGCAGGTCTTCCCTGGAGCTGGAGGATCTGGCATGGATAGTCAGTATAACGGTCTATATATGCCAAGCGCAACGATGTCGCAGCGCCCACTGTCGGCCTCCGCATTGCCAGAGACATCGGCGGGTTGTCGCAACTATTGGAGCCAAGGACAGAGCCAAAGCCAGGGCCAAGGTCATCCTGGCCACAGCTCCTTCTATCACAGCAGTGGACGCCACTACAACTACAATAAGCGCAAATCAGCTGTGGAGCTGTTAGCTGAATCGAAGCCCTTCTATATCAAATCCGACGCGGTTTTCGAGAGACTGCAGCAAAGAGCTGGAAGTGGAGCAGGCGTTGGGGTTGGAGTTGGGTCTGGGATCAAGCGAGGCCATTACAGCTACGAGGAGCTGGAGGACAGACGCTATATGAGTCTGAGCAGGCAGCAGCAGCAGCAGGTCCAACAGCAGGTGCAGCAGCAGGTCCAACAGCAGGTGCAGCAGCAAGTGCAGCAGCAGGTGCAGCAGCAGGTGTATATGCACAATCATCATCATCAGCACCATCATCAGAGGCACAGTCAGGGCCATCCACGGGAGCGACCTGGCGTCAACAATAATTTGCTGCAGCACAAGCTGCGGCTGCTGCTCGGCTCGGAGGCTGCGGCCAAGGAGCGCTCCAGCATGCGACGCAATGATGGCAATGGCGATCTGTTGCCTGGCGAGGAGGAGAGCAGCGCATTGAGAATACCACCCCCTCTCTACCTACCCGCCCATGCCTTTGGCAGGGAGTCCACATATGGAGCATATCCGAGTGAGCCGAACAGTGGCGGCGAGGAGCCGCTGGTGCTTACCGAGAACTACAGGCCGATCAGTCCGCCGGCTGAGTATGCGGGCAAGTCGAGTCAGGTGCACAACGAGCGTTACAGGTAAGCACATAAGCTTTAAAGCAACAAAAATTTAAGCTCAATTCGGTATTTCTCTCGCGCTCTCAAAATCGCTCACTTCAAACTTGGTTTGCCGGCAGCAATATATACGCATATAAATAAATTCATGTACACACGTGTGTGTGTGTGTGTAAGCTCACTGCGGTCACAAATATATTTCTAGCATGTCGACGCTTTAATACCCTTTTCAATAACAAGCATGCAAAAATGAACATTAATATGTATGAACGTAACAAAACGTTTGACGACTCTCCAGTATAAAAATCGAAAGGGTGCATTGCTAGTAATGCATATACACATGCACACACAATCGAGAGTGCAATCGAGCGTAAACAAAATATGTTATGTGGCTATCTCGCTCGATCGCACTGTTCGAGCCGTACTCGTTGAGAGCGCGTAACAAAAAGGATGAAGTTGGAAGCTCTTGTTCTATTTTTGTTCTGTGTGATAAATGCTGCAGCATAGCATGTGCTATAAAATCAACTCTTATATTTCTTATGAGCAGCTCTTATATATCTGATATGTATATCTTTCGCAGTCTAAACAGCAGCTCTTATACTCGTGTATCATTAGATCTCTTTGCAGCTCTTATATATGCACATGTGTATATGATGCGCATATCTTTTATATCTGTTGAGTACCTCTGATATATGTATCTTATACACAGTTCTTATATAACTGATGAGCTTATACCTTTTTGTGCAACTTAAAGGCTATGAAATTGTCTATATATATATTTAATATCTGACCTAAATATTACTTTTGCAGATACAACTATCAACGCTCATATTCTCACTCGCACGAGGTGCCCAGCAATCCGGATGAGCGCGCTCCTTACTCAGCGAACGAGTTCAACATCAATAGTCACAAATCGCTGCCGGATCTGCATACGCAGATCAGTCGACACTCGCCACACAGCGAGATCTTGAGCTGCTGCAGTCGGGGCAATCGTTCGATCAAATCTGCCGGGGAGTCATCCATTAATCGGGATTCGGGCGGCAGCTCTGGCCACTATACGCATCGCAGCGAGCCGTGCTATAAGCGTCAGCGGGAGACTCAGTCGGGTACTGCCAGTGGCACGATCAGGAATTGCTGCAACCTGGTGGCGGCCACTCGCAGGGACAGCGGCTCCTCCACGCAACACAGTGCCAATTCGTATTGTGGCTATGTCACAGCCGCTGGCATTGATTGCAGATGCAAGCAGGATCCAGGACCTGGCTCTGGAGCCATTATGCCCGGCTATGACAATGCAGCTGCCGATTATTTGCTCAATTTTACGCCGACGCCGGAGGTGCCGGAGGCCTTTCAGGATTCGCCATCGCCACGACTCAAGACCCAGACGCCTCGCTATTCGAGCTCATCCAGCCAGCAGCTGCAGACCAGCTCGCAGGGCTACACGAGCATCAATCACTCGCAGAGCTCGCTGGTCCAGAGTCCCGGCTCGGCGCCCTCGGTGGATGACATTAGTCCGCCGCCCATACAGTTCAAGAGGCAGCGTTGCATTCGGTTCAAGAATCGCAATCGCTTGCCCGTCCAGCCGCGCACTTCGCCCAGCAGCGGCTCGGCGGGCTACAAACGGAACATGGAGCACGAGAACGTCTTCTTTCCGAAAGGTTTCTCGGCGGACATGGAGCGGGAGGCACTGAATGCCAGCATATCGGAGCTGGAAAAGTTCTTCGATCGTTTGGGCTTGAACGATGAGGCATTCCATGAGATCTACAGCCAGCCAAGGCGGCATCAACATAATCCGGAAACCGATTCCGATGATTCCAGCACTGTATTCTTCTCGGATGTGAGCACCGTGGACTCGATGCGATTGCCGGACAGCACGGAGACTCAGCCCCAAACTACGCAGCCGTATCGACCCTCGGAGCCGCCATCGATTGTGGAGCGCAACGCGAGAATTATCAAATGGCTCTGCAACTGCAAGAAGATGCAGTGCGTCTGAACAGGCTCCACACGCAATTTTGATATTGATCTTTAGAAATTGTTAATTTTATCTAATGTCAAGTCACTACCAAGGCCTTCTAAACCCAGCCGAATAGCAAGGCTCTAGGGTCGCGAACATCCCTTAAGACTTGAGAATTCCTAGGAAGCTAGAGTTGCGGCAGCTGAATCCCTGCTAATTATTCGATTTTGATACGGATAGCAACTAAGGCCGATGCTCAAATAGAATGCAAGATTTCCGAGAGTACGGAGGGTACTTGGTATCCTTGGAATGCCTGAAGGATGCTCCACTTTTGATATTGATCTTTAGATAAGGATAACTTTGTCGCTCGTCAAGTAACTACCAAAGCCTAAAACCCATTCGAACTTCGGAGTTTAAACATAATGCAGTATACCCTAGAGTCCTGGCGATCCCTATGATCGTCGTACAACCGAATCGCTGCTGAGGATTCTCCACTTTTGATATTGATCTTTAGATATGGTTAACTTTGTCTCTCGTCAAGTAACTACCAAAGCCTAAGCCCCATTCGAAGTTCGCAGTTCAAATTCAAGTTCAAATGTAATGGAATAATACCTTAGAGATCCCTAGATAGGGATTAATTATCCATTTGAATGTGTGTTTAGTCACTTTTTTTGCTGCCACGTTTTGCAGGCCCCAATTAAATAATTGTATTAACTAATCGTATAGCTAAATGAGAGATCATATTAATCGTATACATAAATGGTATTATTAGATTGAATTATTGTACAATTAGTTCTTGTAACGTGCATATATCGTAAACATATATACTACCTATATATACGTATATATATTTATATATATCTATATATTTGTGTAGTTGCCAAAAAACCAATTCCCACAATTGAAAAGTACTCGTAAAGAAATTGAACCTACCTATTTATGTAAGTGTAAAACGGTTTGCATGACGAATAAATATTTATGATTATCAAAACAAGCATTGAGTTTTTATCCTAAAGCCTAAAGGCTTGGCTGGAGTCTGACTGAGGTAAGCCACTTCACTGCTGATCTATTTTTTCGTTGTTGCCTCATTTCGATAAATATCGATTGCGTAGCAATGATAGCTATCGACTAAATAGTTGAGCTGTTCTGATGTTATATATTATACAATAATAAATTTGCCTTATATATAACTAAAATATAGTTTTAATAAACCTATTTTGGTAAATTCGATAAATATCGATTCAAAGTAAAGTTTCCTTAAAGTATAAGCAAACGGAATAACTGTTCTGTAAATATGTATTCTATATATCTATCTACTTGGCCTAGTGCTGATATATAACGTTCAATTATCGCCCCAAGTTTTTGGTAATTTCGAGAATTATCGATCTTGAAACCATGTAGAAGATAGGGCTGTAAATGGCTTCTATATGCTTAAAAGAAAACTTAAATTTTAGTAAATAGGTACTAGTACTTCTAGTATTGGTATTATTAACAACTTTTAGACAAACTTGCATTTTTTAGCTTTTTTGACGAGCTTAGATTGGAGCATCCACAAACTTGCCTAGTTTCCTGAATAAAACTTAATAATCATCCGGTAGCCCACATAGTTTTCGCTTTGTTCTCTGCCCTATATGGGCACACAATGGAACAGCTGTGTCGCTAGCCCTCGCTCTTTGTTAGGGGCACTATAAAAGCGTTGGGTAGCTGGGCTAAGGCTTATCAGAGTCAAAGGGAAGCTTTTGAAATGAACAAGCTTATACTTCTGGGTGTTGTCCTAGGTCTGCTTTCAATGGTGAGGAAGTCTTATATCTTTATCAATATATATCTAGATGCAATTTGATATAAATATAAAAACTATATTTTAATGCACGTCCGTTAACTTTTCAGGCCTTGGCTCATAATGTGAGTATTACTAAAAATTAAGTGACTTGAAGAGTTATCAGATTTTGCCTACGACATACTAAAGGTGCCGTACCCGCCGCCAAAGGACACTGGCAAGCATGGTGGATCGGGCGGAGATGGCTTTAAGCATGGTGGCTCTGGGGGTGGTGGCACTGGAGGTGGTGGCACTGGAGGTGGTGGCGCTGGAGGTGGTGGTGGCATTGGAGGAGGCGGAGGCATTACATCCTGTCCTCGACCCTCACCAGAAAGCATAAGAGTGAGTTTATTAATTTCCCAATATATATTTATAAATAGATATGCAATCTGTGACCTTTAGTGCCTGCAACAATGGGCGTGTCAGAATGTCATTCGCCTGGATCTACGGTAAGTGAAGACAAGCACCTGGCAAGGGGCTATCAAAGTATGCTAATGGATATATACTAATCCCTTTCGCACTTAACAGCTGTCTGCTCACTCTAAATGGCAACAATTTGCTGGGCAACCTGATCAGCATACCTGGCGTGTCGGGCGGTGGCACCAGCGGTGGCATTCTGGGCGGGCTGCTGGGCAACTAGAGCTGAAACCACAATGCACAATTAGACTAATAAAAAAATCAGTAAGGGTAACTCTAGTCGGGTGTGCTCGACTAGCGAATACCCTGAATGCTGCGCAAAGATGTTGTTTTAATCGAGCTTACCCACTGATATGGATAGACAGATCGACAGATGAGTACCTGGCAGTGAAAAATACATTTTCATTTATGGGACAGGCTACACCGTCTACCTGCTACATCCAATATCCCCCCTTTGGTTTGAGGCGTTAAGGGTGAAAGCTTAAGCTGAGCAGTGCAACGCATCGAATTGGAATCATTGCTTCGCCCGTTAATGGTCAGTCAATAATGATGATGGCCAACAGCTAACATGCAATTGCGGATTATGGTCAATGGGGGCGATAATCGAGCCACATAACAGTTAACACAATTATTGTTTAAGAGCTCGTTTCGGCCAAGCGCTGCACAGAGCAGCAATTAGTTGGCCAATTTTCAAATTAGCTGGCAACCACCTTTAAATTGTATCTCATTGAGGCGCACAGAGGGGGACAGAGCTGGGTGGGTTGGGCGGTCAGGGGTCACGGGTCACCTTAAAGCCTGGCCGAAAAACTTGTGGCTCGTTCGAACAAAGTCGCAAATCATTGAAGCATATGCAATTATTCATTTTGAGGTTGACTGCGCTCGAACGAATACACACAGATGCGAAAACGAATACGAATACGAATACGAATACGAATGCGAAGCGCTTCGAATACATGACCGCCTTGCCTGCCAGCCAAATTTAAATTCAACAGCAGTTCTTAAACGCATAGTTTTCCCTTTTTTTGATACCTGTACATCGAAAATGTACACATCGAAAATGGCTAAACAGGGTAGATTGTGCTTGGTATTAATGTATGAGATTTGATAGAGCGCAGCAGATGAAAATCGATTAAAATCGCTATCAAAAGTAGCAACCTTAGCTATCGATAACTTATAACATGTTCATAAAATCGATTTAAATGCATATTAAACTTATCAAGTGCAATTAAAATGTATTTCAAGCTATCGATAAATTTTCGATTTCTCTAAAATCGATAACAAATTTTAAATTATTGATCATTTGTGACATGCAACCGATAGATAGATATTGGCTCTCACAATTTCAGCTTTTGTTGCTTTTGCAAATATCGATAATTTTTTCTTTTATGAGGAAAATAAGAAATTTTCTTCCATGATAGATGCTGGGTATTTGCTAGCCGAGCACTCCCGAAAAGCAATCATAGTCTTTCTTTTTGTTTTAATTTTTTTTTGCCTTTTCTGTTTTTATTTTTATTTTTTTAAGTGTCCTTCCTTTTTGGCCAGATCGTAGTCCCATTTTAGCTTAATCCGTCACTTGCATCGACAGTTGCGATAGTCCTGTTGGCAACTTCAATTTCCTTTTGCCCTTTTTATAATTAACTTTATGTGTATGTATTTAGTTTTATTGCTCGTTAGACAGCCCCCGACTCGTCGAGCGAGGACAATGAAACAACAATTTGTGGCAACAGCAGCGCAACGTGTGTGAGGCCAAATGCCACAGCCACGGCCAACGCCACAGCCATAGCCAGAGCCAGAGCCAACGCCATCTTCATCGCCTTTGCCATCTTCATCTGCCATCGCCTTGGCCATTTTCACAGCCTTGGCCATTATATTAATTACAAACGTTTGCCGGGCCACATTTCCACAGCTCGAGAGTTCCTGTTTCCACTAATGGGCCACAGCAACTAAATCACACGCAAAGCTCTAAGGCGATTTTGGACAGCGAGCCAGTTAACGAGCTTCAATATACACACATATATATATTTATATATTGAAGTAATATATATATATATATATATACATATATATAATTGTAACATATTTATTAGAAGTAACTAGCATTTTAGTCATTCATAGACTCGAAGGCATCAAAGCTAACGATTCAAAGCTATTCGATTCTGTGAAGATAATAGCAAGCGCTGACGTGTTTAGATTCGAGTTAAGCAAGTCAAAGTGGAGTGGTTAAGACTATGTGACTAAGAGTTACCCTGTATGTATGTATATAGCTGCTCAGCTTCTATAGCATTTTTGAAGCTGAACCGATTTGGAAATCGATAACTTCCACTCAACTGACTTTGCTTTTGTATTTTATATTTTTTTGGCAAACTTATTTTGTGCATTGAGTAATATCTATAAGCTAAGCTGTTAAACAATCTTTGATGAGTTAAGTTTGTAAATTGTTTGAAATATGTCCAAATAGCTGAAGCTTGATTTCGATGCAAATCGATTTCATTCAACTACAAAAGCTTATCAATAATTATTAAATAAATTTCTACTGCCTTTGATACAAATTGAAAAAGAATCGGTATAAATTAGATCATTAATCTGATCAAGAATATATATATATATGTTGCAGGTCATACCTTCTTATGCATGTATATAAAATATATAAAATAAACTCTATTTCAGCTACTATACAATATTTATTCAATTTAATTTGATTCGTCCAAAGCTTTGATAACTTCAAAGCTAGCTATATCCGATTCGGTTGCAGCTTCCGCAACGAGATTCTAATTGAAGAAAGGACACAAAATTTGAAATTTCATTAAACAAATGCATTTGTGAAAGTCTTACCTCGGCGCTGGGTTGCTCTTTAAATGCCTCTGCTAGACCGGGATGTATATTGCTCAAGGACTCATCGCCATGTCGTATGTATACTGGTACATGACCCTTGCGTGGCTCCAACTCCTGATAGGGCGCAGCTAAGAAAAATTTAATTATAAGCCATTAAATCATTGCCAACTCTGTCTCCCTGCCTCTCTCTCTGTCCTTGTCTCTGTCTCTGTCTCTGTCTCTGTCTGTCGCACTCCTGATAATCTACGATGACATACACCCGGAAACCTTGAATCACAACGTAATTATGACTAACGAGCTGCTGCTGTTGCTGCTGCTGCTGTTGCTGCCCCTGCTTGAATCTACGCCTCTGCTTCACAGTTGGTTTTTCGAAATTAAAAAAAAAGTTTTTATATATATAGAAAACCTGTTTCAACACTCAACAATAGAAACGTGAACAGTTGTGCAAATAAAAATCATTTTGCATTTATTAATGCCTAATTTGAACTGATTTATATTTTATTTAGATGTTCTACAGACTCAACCAGGTCGGTTACTCACCTTTAGCCAAAATGCACAGCATTAGCATAAACAGCGCGATCAAAATGCACTTTGCCGATTTGAACATCTTCAATTGTGAATATATTGAATGATTGGACCTTTGAGAGTAGAGCTGAGACTCGAGACTGACAGCAAAACGTATTTGTGCCTAAAACTTATAGCGAAGTGTGTTCTCTTTGGCTCTGGCTCAGTTCAGTTCTCACCATCTCTCAACTCAATGCTCAAATGCTCAAGTGGTCATCATCAATCAACTTTCCACTCCACAGCATCTTTGTATGTTGCTTAGACAGCAGTGCCCAGACTGAAGACTAATCTCGCAAAACAAAAATGCTTATCGCAATTTGTTCTTCTGCTCTCAGTCTCTACTTTCCACTCCACAGCTGAGAATATTTATATGGCTCAGGTATTGCTGATCTGTGCGTGTAGAGCTAATACTCAAGACTGGAATCTTCAAGCAGCTGTAGCTCAGCTTGTTCTTCTGCTCAACCTTGAGCTCTCTTCAGCTCTTACTATGTACCTCACGGCAGCTTTAGATAAGCATGTTTATACCCTAACATCTGGTGTGAAAGGAATTATATATTGGTTTTATGTTAATGTACAATGCAGGCAGTAGAAGTCGTGGCAGCCTCCAAGATCAAGACGATATGTTGAGATGGTCTAGCTATATACGTCTTTTTCTCTGCCTATTCTTCAGTCTAATTTTCTTTATTTCGTACAAAGTCCTAGAGACTTAGAATAATTATGCTTATGCTTGTTTATCATTTAATTTTCAATAATTTTCATGAATTAATTAATTAGCGATAAATATCGATTACTTAACTAGAAATATCGATTACTTAGCTAGAAACTGAGTTTATAGGTTTCATTGATTAATACACAGATGGTTTGAAATAGCTTTCCCTATGCCAGATTCCGATGTCTAATTGAAAACTGTATGTTCAGGGTATCTTCTAGTCAAGCACTCCCGACTACTACACTATTACTTGTTGGCTATATAGATCTGCAGCGCTGCTCACACTCTCACCTCGACACTGCTTCCCACTCTATTTCGGAGCCTGCATATGTTATATAGGTTAAATGAGTAGACCAAAAATTGAAGCACTCTACTCTACTCTTTGCTCTGCTTAGTCTTGTACTCTCTTCAGCTCTGAGCTCAACTCTACTGCACAGCATCATTAACTGGGTAAATTTTATATGTTATATTGCTTAGATTGAAATCTGTGTGAGCAGAGCTAAGATTTAAGACGGACTGGTAAGACTTAGACCGCAGTTCTTCTTGCCTTTGTCGCTACTCAGTTAAGCTCTCTTCATTCTCTCAATTTATCTCAAATCTACTTTTCCACTCCACTCCACTTTACTCTGTAGCATCATCAACAGCTTGAGCTTCCAGCAATAAACTTTTGCTTGGCAAATTACTCATGGGTAGCTGATGATGATGATGCTGATGATGATGGTGGCTGTAATGAAGCTGTCGGCATTCGCGAACTTTTTGATACCCGGAAGGGGACAAGGGCAAGGGCAAGGCAGCTGCTTTAGCTATATGTAGCTCCAACTTCTACTTGGGAGCAGGTCGAAGCAGGTCTGTGGAGCTGTAGCTGGAGACGTCATTTAGTGGCCTGTGGCATTATCCACTCTGTGGCCATAAAGCAGTTGCTTCTTCTTCTTCGTCTTCAAATTCAAACGCTTGCAACTTTTTTGTTTCAAATTAATTGGGTCGTTAGAGAAGCCATTTGCGCGGGTTCTTTCACTTATTTTTTTCCTCCTCGTTTTTCTTCTTCGTCTCTCTGTTTGAATTGTTTGCCCACTTTCGCTTTTGTTGAATGTATTCAAATCGAGAAAATTGCTGACATCTGTAGAGCTCGACGAGTGTCAATCTGAGGGATTGGTTGGGCGCTGGTTGGGTGCTTCGTTTGTTTGCCTACTTCGATTGTTCCGTCGAGTGCGCGTCCTTCGACTTTGTAGTACAGCAAGTGTTATGTGTAAGGGCGCAGGATTTCAAATCAAATTGTTGAGCAAATATTCAACAGAGTAAATATGTTTATGCCGAATCAAGCAATTTCATTTAAACACACACTCACACGCCCATACACACTCATAGCCTGAGTGTGTTGACTCTGTTTGTGCACTTGTGACTGAATCTGAATTGAATCAAAGCATAGTTTATAATGCGCGCTGACATAAGCCAAATTAAATTTAATCAGGCTTAAAGACTACTAGTTACGTCGTCCCGCAGCTGGATGCTCTGGCAGGGAAACTGTTTTACGCGCTTCAACAGCTGTAAAATATCTTTAAAATTTGGAAATTTTATACTCTCTAGACTTATTATAGAGCTTTGATGAGCTGCAGTGTATGTTTTAGAGAGAGTCAATAAAGAAGAGTCTGTTGATTTAGCAAACTGTTCGTCTTACTGTCAGTCGGTTTACCTGTAAGTTCGTTTGTAACTCAGTTCTACTATCTGTCCATCTGTCTGTATGTACCTCCGTCTGCACATATCTCTTTCCCTCTGTCCTGTCTGTCTGTGCGTACGTCTATCCTTTCGTCGCTCTTGATGATTGAAGCTTGCTATATAAACCTTGCCTTATAAAGTAACAATTTGTGATTACGCCCACTGGAGGCGTGGTGAATCGGTGAATCGCTATATCTTTTACAATATAAATGCTAAATCCCTGAAGCTTGATTCTAATACTTAAGCACACCTGAATCAGTTAACATTTAAAGGGTACATAGCTATGCCCTTTGTCACAGCTGTTAAAGCCTCTTCTATAAAAATATATATAATCTAGTTCTACAGTTATGTTGAATGAGTCTTGCAGTCGCATTAACTCTTTCACACATACTCTACAAATATCAACATATGATTCATTCAATTGACATTGAATCGTGAATGAATATGAACACATTTAGTCGGCAGCAACTCGAACTGAATGTTTTATGATTGAAAAAAATATAATTATATATATAATTAATTTTCTTAGTAAATTTATAATTTATTGCCATAATTCCAGGCCCAAGGAAGTAAAAGAAGTATTTGAGTTTTTGTTTGTCTGTCGTTTATTTAATATGTTTATGTATTTTATGTTAGTATGTATTTTTCCGAGGCTCTAAAAATAGTTACATGGCTGCACTAATGTGTGTAGGTGTAGCTATAATAAGTAACTATATCTAATTAATATTATATCTTGTTTTGGGGTTTTTATATTCCATTTTGTTTTATACTCGTATGCATGTATCGTATGTATGTATGTATTTGTATTTGTATGTTTATACTATTATATGGTTTCTGTGTTTCTTATTTTTTTTATTTTAAGAATGGATAAGCATTATGTTTTCTGTTTTTTTTTGGGAGGGGGTATACATGTTATAGATAATATATATACTCTACATATTTTTGCCGTAAAATCGTTATGTATGTGTTCAAGTTTGCTTGTGTATGTAAGCGCTGCATGTAAAGTATGTAAGTATGTAAGTATGTAAGTATGTAAGTATGTAAGTATGCAAGTATGCAAGTATGCAAGTATGTGAGTATGTATGTTTGTTAAGTATACGAGTATGTACGATTTCTATATAGTTTATAAGATCCTCTGTAGCATATGTATATAAAGAGACTGTGTATTGGGCATTGATAATTTCGTTTGATTGATTATTATGTTTACTTTCTTTTTAAATATTATTTTAAATATTTTCTACGAAAGCAGAAACTATTTAATTGCTTGTTTCGTTCGCATGGTAGAGTTAAACATTTTCTAACTAAAAATTTGAACAAGAACAAATTCTAATTAAGTGAAAAGTTGCTGAATATGTATATATATATATATATGTATATATATATATATATAATATATATAGAGACTTGTACATAATTTACCGAAGATTGGTAAAGATCTGGTTTGGTATTCAAGAAAGACTGACAGAGAGTGTCTGAGAGAGAGAGAGAGAGAAAGTTGACTAGTTAAGTGTTATTTATGCTAATATATATATATATATATATATATATATATATATATTTCTATAGGTATATCGCTAAGTTTTGAGGGTTTCCTAATAGCAAGGAAATCCCATTGAATCAGTTAGTCTAATTGTGAGCAGCTGTTTAATGGACATATCTCTATGTAAGATGCTAGAAAAGCTAGCTAAGAACTTGGAAGTGACTCAAGCAGCGTCTTAAGTACTGTGATATGAAATCAGCAAATTTAGAAAATTACTAGAATATTGTGGTTAGTTATTTACTTCAGGGAACTTATTGAAATCAGCTCAAAGTATTCTATGAAAATTATCAAAAAATATCGATTTTAACAATTGATAAAATTAAGGGTAGCAAGGGCTGAAAATAAATATACCGAAAACCTTTGTCAGCTAGATGCCTTTTCCTCTGCCTCGCTTCTTCTTGCATGTATCGTACTCAGATATTTTTTTGAAAATTTAAAAAAGGTTTTGAAGGCCAAAAGTATAACTTTTTTTTGAAGGATGTTACTAGATGTACAGGATATTAGACTGCTATACCCAAGAAATTTACTTTTCTGCATTATTGTTATCAAACTGGAAAAAGTGTTGGCTAACGCTTGATTACTCAGCCCTGTTGATCTGTGTAATTTTTAACTAAATACTCTTATTCAAAGTTTGCTAAATAAAGCTGCAAATCTTATGAAAAGCCCCTCAAAACTTAGTTATATAAATATAATATTTAATTATATATGATAGTAAATGTATATACGATGTTTACAATATATATTGCAATAATATATATGTATATATGTATATATATAACTGTTTCAAGTCTTTTTGCATCTCTAATATATGAATATATAAATTAATATATATATATATATATATATTTATATATATATATATATATATTTTTACGTTACGTTACGTTATATTTTTTATTTTTTTTTTTTATAAAATATCTCATTTGTATAATAATTTAAAATTTTAATTTTTAATTTTTGTTGGTGTCATTGAACTTGAATCTCATTTGGTTCAGCTGCAGCTCTATGTGTGGTTGTGTTTGGGCATGGGTGTCGGTGTGTGTGTGGGTGTGTTTTGAGAGCGCACTTCTCTGTTGCTTCTGGTCAAATGGGGTTGGGTAGGGGGTTTTGTATTAACTTCTTTTGTAAGTTCTAAAACAAAGCATCTGTGTAAAAATATTTTGTTTGCATTTTTTGTTTTTTTTTTTACATTTTTTTGTTTTTCATTTTTTTTTCTTTTGTGTATAAATAAATCTAAATTGTAAATGAATCAATTAAACGCTTGCCTCAATGTACAATATATCTATATATATTTTTAATTTTTATTTTTCATTTTTGTTCTTGTTGTTCTTGTTCGTAATTATTTGTTGTATATATATGTATGTATGTATGTATATATTTTTTTGAATGTAAAATTGCAAATCACATAATTTGTTACCACTACTGTTCAATGGAATTGATACATACATATATATATATGTATGTATATATATATATATATATATATTATACATATATATATATATATATAGGCATTTAATGCTATTTAAAACGCTATCAATAAAGCCATGCATAAACACGATTTCGAACTATGGCCCTATAAACAATTGCACATAGCACTGTGGTCTAAATTCTAATTTTTTAAATTTTTATTTTTATATATATAATTTTTCACTTTTATTTTTATTTTTTTGCTATTTGTTTATGGGCATATGGCAAAATGTATTTGTTTATGTATTTTGTATGTAATTAATTGCTTTTTTTATATATATAAAATTGCTTATGTGTGTGTGTGCCTCTGTTCATGTAGCTCTGCAGTTAATAATTAATATATATAATATATTATATTTTATATTATTATATTTTGTTTTGTTTTTCTTTCTCGTTGTATAATTAAGTTCGAATTGTTTTCAATGTTTGTGTTTGTTTTTGTTTTTGGTTTACTATGCTTAATTTTGATATAAAAACTGCCTCTGTTCAATATATATATATATATCTATATATATATATATATATATATATATATATATATATATATATATATATATATATATATATATATATATATATATATATATATATATATATATATATATATATATATATATTTATATATATATCTATTATATGCATTAAAAAATAACCTCTATCAATTCTTAAATTATGAAATAATTGTAATTGACAATTTAATTCAAATGGTTTTTTATATTTTTGTGTTTCGGAATAAAAACTACGCATAAAATAAATACATATTTCTTGTATATATATTATATATACGTTTTTCGATTTCTATATATATATATATATATATATATATATATTATATATAAGAGTTACGTTCTTTAAAAACTATGTCACTTACTTTTGGAATTGCTTTTAGTTGTCATTTTTGTTTTACAAGTGCTTCATCTTCATCTTTTTCATCTTCTTCACCTATGCATCTTTGAATATCTGTTGAAACTTTCAGATGCTTGCCCAAAACTGTTTGGATATATGTATATAGACTGTTGTATCTGCGAGTATTAGCTATGCATATATGTGTATATATATTATATATACTCTCTCATATACTTAGCTTTGACTTAGGCCAAAGTGGCTTTACCATAATTGGGTATTTTATTTTTACTTTTCCTTCTATATGTATACTCGTTCTAGCTGTGAAGATCTGGGAGTATATTTGATTTGTGCACTGTTTGAAGCTGGGAAATGTTCAATTTGGAATTTGTATAGCTGATTGCATAAAGTATTACGATTTTTATTTTGAATCGGGAATTGCTATAATTTGAGGTTCGAGGTATATAAACTCCTTCAGTTAGATGTGATCAGTTGGAGTCGCGGCACATCGGAAAATTTTGATTTATGTTGTAAATGCAGCATGAACGAGTATCATGCAGTCAGTAGTGCCCGACTGCTAAGGGTTTTACTTGATTTCTGTTGTTGCTTGTATAAAATTAGTTTATAATCTGGATTATATGTACATAATTTAAATCTAGTAATAAAAATAACTATATATATATATATTATATATATTGCAAATTGTGTGGGTATATGTATGTGTGTGTGTTCTATATAACTTAATTGAATTTATCTTAAATTGTTTTTTTTTGTTGCTTTTTCTTTATATATGTTAATTTTTTGTTGTTTAATTGAATGCATTTATGTTTAAGTATTGTCCTTGTGATATGTTTCTAAATTGTTTTTTTATAATCATTTCTAAGTAATTGAAGTAGTTTTTTTAGAGCATATTATGGAAGTTATTCATCTTAAATAGGGAGTTTTTCTTTCGAATATATAAAGTTTTGTTGCAGTTTTTAAAATTGTGAGAGTATTATTTCAATCATCATTGCTTATCTGTTGGCCTACCGAACTTGTGATGCCTTTGGTTTTTGCTAAGTAAATATATATATATATATATATATATATATATATATGTATATATATATACATATACATAAATATATATATATACATATATATATATAAATATATATATATATATGTATATATATTCAAAAGACTAAGAGCGAGAGTTAGTTAAGAGAAAGTGCTAAAAAAGTCCACTAGTTAATTAGTTGCTAAGATTCGAAATGAGCTGGATTTCCTCTTCATTATTATTATTATTATTAGTATTTTATTCTATTTATATATAGATATATATATCTGTATGCGTGTGTATGTCATCATCTGCTGTACCTATGTATATAAACTCTAGAGCCCTAAAACGATGCCTTAAAGTATTTTTTTGCTTTCTTTCTATATACCAAAAACATGCAAATTGGTTCTGCTCGCTATGTACTCATATAATTCATATAGATAGGTATATATACACATATATATATATCGTTCTTGTATATATGCTTATATATATATATATATATATATGTATAGAATTTCTACTTATGTTCCATAATATTCGTTGTGTCAGATTTTTACTATAAGTTACATTTTGGATTCCATATTAAACCTTTTGTTATACATTTTTTGCATATATTTGTTTCTGTATTTTCTCGCTCATTCCCAAAACTAAGAGAAAATAATATAAAATAGTTAATAATAATTGGAATAATAATAATATTGAGAAACATGCTATTGAGTTTGAGATCTATATATATATATATATGGCATTATCGGCATTACCAAAACACATTCCATACTAAAAATTCCATGCTCAAAAAACTACTCATATAAGCTGCTAGTTGACTGTTTGATTCATATATATATATGTGTATATATATACATATATATATATTTCGATAAGGGTGCTCGAGTATTGCTTATAGGGTTTGTTTTTATCTTTCATTGTTATAAAGTATCTTGAAGTTTGTTAGAATATTAGTTTTGCTTAGGCTACCACAATATCTTGACTGTTCTCATCGCTGTCTAGCTCATCGGCTTCGATATGCTTTAGCTCCTCCTCATCCTCGTCCAGATCAATGTCTTCCACACTCTTGTCGAGCGATATGTCGCTATTATCTCTGAGGCAGGCCGACTCCAGATGCTTGTTCAGATACGATTTTAGCGCAAAGGTTTTGTTGCAACGCAGGCACTTGAAGTTCTTATCGCCGGAATGCGTCTGCATGTGCGCCCTCAAATTGGAGCGATCTGCAAAGGCCTTGCCGCACTGTACGCATACGTACGGCTTCTCACCTGTGTGGGAGCGGAGGTGGCCTTGGAGCAGCCAGGGACGCGAGAACAGCTTGCCACATATATCGCAGCTATGCGATAGTTTGTGCGTTAGCAAGTGCATGGCCAGAGCGGGCATCGAGACGTAAGCCTTGCCACAGGTGTTGCACTTCTTGGCTGACTGTGAGTCGAGGGAGCGATGCGTCTGCTTGTGGCGCGATAGATTGCTAGAGGTGGCATATTGCTTGCCACACTCGGAGCATTTGTAGCAGCCGCGTTTGCGCTTCGCATAATTCTCACCGCTAGCTGCCGATTCGCTGTTGCCTGCAGGAGCGGAACTGCTGTTGCTGCTGTTGTTGTTGCTGCTGCTGTTGATGTTGCTCTTTGGACGCTGCGGTTGCTTTTTGTCCTTGCTGGCTGCTTTGCTGGCTTTGGTGCGTCCATCGAGCATATTGAGACACATCTTCAAGGCAGAGGCACGCTGTTGCTGCTGTGGCTGTGGCTGTTGCTGTGGTTGCTGCTGTTGTTGCTGTTGCTGCTGTTGCTTGTTCCAGTGGCCGGATTCGGAGGAGGAGGACATATCAATGTCCACATCTGAGCTGTGATCAGAATTGGGCGGCGTTAGCGGCGAGCAATTGTTCGATGTTTCCGTTGCGCTGTTCAACAAATCGTACGAACTGCTGCCAATAAAACGAATATTTGAGCTGCTGCTGTTGCTGCCACCAACATTGGAGTTGCTGCCGATGTTGCTGCTGTTGCTGCAATTGCTGCTGCTGCTGCTGCTGCTGCTGCTACTGTTGCTGCTTTGGTAAGGCGACGGCGCATTTGATATCTCCTGCATGACATTTAAATTGTCTGCCTGCTTGGGCACAGTCTCCTGCTTCATGATGGTGACCACACAGGGTGGTATCAAAGGAGGCAAACTCTGAGATAGCGACAACAAGTCATGTGCCGCCTCCGTCTCCTCCAAGCTGCGTCCTCGATAGATAGCTGCAGCCACTTGTTGCTCCCTCTCCCGTTCGCGTTCCCGCTCTCTCTCCTTCTCTCTCTCCCTCTCCCGCTCCCTCTTAATGGCAATCGGCTGCGGCTGCCGCTGTGCTCCATTGGCATTCGCTGGCGGCGCATAGAAAATCACTTTGCCATCCTCGGCTGGGGCGCGACCAAAGGCCACTGGACGGCGCATAGATACTGCAAATATAATAAAAATGTTTATTTGATTACAAATGTTCAATTAGCCCACCCATGAGACCGACTGACAATCTAAAGGCTTATCACAGCATTCTCCTTTATTTGTTAACTCCATCTTTAAACCAGATATGTTGCAGCTATTCAAGAAAAAAAAAAGAAAACTCCTTGACAATTGACAACATCTAAAAGGAAGTCTGTCAATTGCACTTGCTGTCATTTGCCATGATAACAAATCACAGCTTTTTTCCCTTGACCACTGACCAGGATTGCCAAATGCACAGATAATTCAGTTATGAACTCTATATTCAGTAATTTACTAAATATCTATAAGTCTAAGTGCGTATGGTGTGTAGGGAATATGGATATGTAGACAAACACTTGTTACGTTATTCGAATGCTTAACTGCATTAGCACAGCAGAAGAGTAGAGACACCCTGTGCGTGCAGGCCCTGAGAATGGCTAGCTTTGTTTAGTATATATGTAAGTAATATTAAAACACACTGTAGCAATTAGAAATTTAAAGAATTTTAAACATAATCAAGTCTGCAAAGAAAGCTCTTTAAATATTAATTAATGAATGAGCAATGTGTCTTTTTCTGTTTTTAAAATACATATGTGTATTTAATAATACCTTAAATGTGAAAAAAAGCATTTGGTATGATTGATCTCGATATTTGCATCGATTTACATTACTATCGAAATAAAAAGACAAGCCAACTGCTATTTACATCTGAGCTGTACACTATGTACTCAAGAAGATTTAAGCATTCAATGAAAGATGTCTTTTAAAAATGAATTATCACATATATTTGTGCAAGCTGCCATGTTTGAACACTTCGATTTAATTAAAAGTGTGACCATGCTTAAGCACTGTTAAAACGATTATTTTTTGTGCGAAAGTAGAACTGAGAGACGCACTCCTAAAGCTTGCCTCTGCTTAAATATACTAATACGAATTCCTTAGTATTTTTGCGCTAGTGCTCGCTAAAGCACAGGAGTGAGGGAGAGACGGCTACTATTACTATTAAATATACTTGAATAGTGTATACTTGAGGTGTGAGGGGGATGACATTATTTCTCTAGAGCTGTGTTACATTTCGTATTCTCAATCGATAAGACTTGCTTGCTGCTACAGACTACAAGTAAAATGTGCCCACCCTGTTGGCCCCCTTGACAATGGCGCGTGTTGGTTTTCGTGTTTGCATTTGCTGCTTTGCTTCTTCTACACAGCCTTTTGTCAAGAGCAACAAGCAGCGACAACAACGACAACAACAGCAGCAACAACGACAACATCGACAAGAAGGCAAACATGAAAAATGCCAACATACGCTAAAAAGATTAGCTAACGGCGACAATGTCAAACACGCTAGAGAGTGGGAGAGCAAAATGGAAGGAAAGGTCTGTTGTCCGTTGCTGTAGTCCAAGTGGAGCCACAGTGGGGGGCCATAAAAACGTGCGGGCGACGGCTACTAAAAATAAATACACGAGTACACAAATTGTCGCAGCCACCTGTTCACATTGTTGTGACGCAACTTCTGGGCAGGTGGCAGCCACGGGAAGGAGAGCTAATGGAGGGCTATAAAGGAAAGCGGATATGTATTTAACTGTTGCACCTACCTGCGGATACTGTTTTGGTTGTGTTTGCTCCTCCAGCTGCTGCTCCAGCTCCAACTCCATTTTCAGTTGTAGCTCCTGTTGCTGTTATAGCTCCTGTTGCTGCTGTTAGATGGCGTTGTTTTTCCGGCTTGGAGATCACTTCCGCTGTTGCTGTTATAGTACCCGTTGATGACACTAGATGGCGCTGCTTCTCCTGTTTGGAGTTCATTTGCACCAGCGACTGCGCTGCCGACCACTCCAATTGCTGCTCATCGGATTGTGCCACCTCCTCCTGCTGCTCCATGGCATCGTCATCATCATCGTCGTCCAGCTCGATTATTTCACGCTTGAGTGCTGGCTTACGCTTGCTCTCCCTATCCTTAGCCTTCTCCTTATCCTTGTTGCCAGACTTAAGGGTCATCTTGCCTTGGCCATTGTTATTATTATTCTTATTGGCATTGCGCAGCACCGAGAACTTATCCTCATTCCAATTGATACTGGCCGACGGCCTTAGTTTACGTAGCTGCTGCTGCTGTTGCTGCTGCTGCTGCTGTTGGTGTTGGTTGTTGCTTCTGGGCTTGGGCTTTGGTTTGGACTTGGGACGTCGCCAGCTTTGCAAGTCGTTGGCCGGCGCATATTTCTTGCTCGCATAGGCAATCGTTTGTATCTTGTTGCGATTGGGCAGTATAAAGTCCACAGACATTGTGTCTACGTCGCTCTGTTCACTAGCTGCCACTTGCCAGTTCGATCAAAATTTTTTATAAACTACTTAAAAACCCTTTGGGCTATACTTTGTATGTTTGTGTTGCGGCTTTTCTTACTTTGTTTTTTTTTTGTTTTGCTTATATTTTGTTTTTTTTTTGTTTGTTTTGTTTGCTTATTTATTATTTATTTACTATTTTAGATATAGCACAACCTTCTTTCACATCGACTCCAGTGTAGTCAGTGCAGTAAAATGCTTCACTTTGACTCCAACTTTGACTTCGACTTTGACATGAGCTGCCTTGAGAGTAGCGCTACTTCCGTACCGGAAATCGGTTCTACTTCTACCTCTATCTCTACCTCTACTTCTACTTCTACTTCTGCTGACGTTGCTGCTGCTGCTGCTGCTGTGGCTGCTGGTGCTGCTTTTGCTTTTGCATTAGCTTTGTTAACGTGCATCCTTGATCTTGATTTGGCTCTCTCCTCCACTCACTGCCAAGCACTCCCCAGCAGCTTTCCCCTATAACATTTGCAGTTGTTGTTCGTCTTCTTTATATATATATATATATTTATATATATATATGTATATATATATATCTATATATATATATATATATGTATGTATATATATCACTTTTATTCAATACGCGTAGTATGCTTGAAAGAATCACTTTAGTTATTGCTTTCGTTGTTGCGTTTCCGTTCCGTTCCCGTTTCCGTTTCCGTGCATTAATCAAAGTTCTTTATAGAACGGGAAGAAAATTGTTTCCATTAGTTAACACTGAGCTCAACTGATACTTTAAAAATATATATAATTAAGATGACAAGTGGAAATTAATAAAATATTTGATAGTAGTTCAAATGAACTGGTTTATCTGAGATCATAAGTAGATCAAAGATTTTATGATTTTCAAACGATTTCTCAGAACGCTGATTCAATGGTTAATTTTTTTTAAAGCCAATTGATAATAGCTTAAAAGAACTGGTTCTTTTTTGTGCATATCACATATTCCTTATCAATATCAAACTTTTTTTAGTTCTCTGTTTATATCTTCATTTTTGTATAATTAACAAACGCAACGATAATAGTCGATAAGAACTAGTTCATTTGAACTTAGCCACAGATCATTCTTTAAAGTCTTTACTCAAATCAATAAATTTTTTCGTATATGTTATAAGCTAAATTATGCCAATACTATAATGCTAGATAGTAGTTAAAAGGAACTGGTTCTTCTGCTTCAAATCAGAATTGTTGCTTGTCGGATGGGACATTATGTATAAGCGCGATAATAGATTCAGCGGTAGTTCAAACGAGCTTGTGCTTTTGAGATCGTGATGTAAGCTTAGGATTTTTATTTATACTTTAGACTTATTCTTTGGAACTGGTTCGTTATTTTTGGTTTGATTAAATTCAAAAATTATTATTTTATACTCAGCTACTAATGCTTATAGCTTTTATAGATGCTCAAAAGAACTGGTTCAGTTCAAAAGAACTTGTTCTTTTAAGATTTGATGCAGAAGTTTTTACTTTTCATTCGTACTCAAATGTTGTTATTTAACTTTTATATTTATCTTTTTGTTATTGTTTATTGGAACTTGTTCATTATTAGATTCGACTCATATTATCTGTTTTGAATTCTGGTATAACTCCTTTTCACATTAGAAGAGTTCTAGAATAAACATTTTGTTTGGATGCCATATTTCGCCTTTTGCACTGTAAACAAATTCACGCACTGGTTCACAGCTCGGACGTTGCTGTTCACATAACAAGTAGAGCAAAGCCGAGAAGCTGCTTTCCAATAGAAGCTCCATGTATTTTACACCAGTTCCTCGACAGTTCATAGTAATCACAAAGTTATGCACATATTCTCTGTTATTTGTATTTATTTTTTGTTGTTATTGCAACATTTGGAAACAGCTTATTTAATATACCAAAAGTGGAAGTAGAAAAGGAGCATGGGGCAGGGTAAGGGGGGTTGTGAATTCGTTTTGGGGGTGCAGGCAGGCGGGCAGGCAATGCTCTTCCAATGGAAGGCGCGCACGCACACCAACCACGTAAACTATCTATCCCTATCCCACTTTTTAAAATGGCGCATACTCGTGAACTCGTTGGCTTTGTTTAGGAAATGCAGACTTCAATTGTTGTTTATCAAATTTGGCTTGAACATAAATAAACCGATTAACTCAATCACTTATGCCATTTTATAATACTTTCTCTACGTTTCACGCACTTTTTGTTGATTTCTTGCAGCTCGCAGTTGCTTGAAAATTGAACAAGAAAAAATGAATTTTTTTCGTTGTTCGCTGTGTTTCAGCGTACAACAACTTGTTTCACTCTGCACTTGTCGAATGTTTTTGTGAATCCGAAACGAGTAAGAGTAACGCACACCAATGCAGAGAGCGAGAACGCGAACGAGAGCGCGAGCGAGAGCACGCAAGAGTAACGATACGGAGAGCGAGCTTTTTCGAGCGAGCAACGAGTGACGAGTGCGGCATACATGCAACAAATAGTCAACTGTTGGTTGCCCTAGCCTACCTCACTGTGCTCGCACCCACCCCCATACACTCACACACGCACACGTAGTCTCTCTCGCTCTCTACCCCTCTCTCTCACCTTCTCTCTCTTGTGCTGCCATTAGTTGCACATAAACAATGCGCAAATTTATTGCATACTTTGCAGCGTTCGCAGCGAGTGTCGTTAGAGCCTGCTTCTGCTGTTGCTGCGGTATACGACACACTCACACTCACACTCACACACACACACACACACTGATTCGGCACTTTGTTGCATACGTCACATGCAACAAAAGTTTACAGTTGAACGTGAGAACTCATGCATAAATTGAGTTTTCAATTAAAGTTTTTCACTCGAATGAAATTCCTTGATGAAATTTTCACTCACAAACATTTGCCAAAGCTTAAATAAATCATATTTAAATCTGTATTTTCTGTTTTTTTTTTTTTGTTAGCCTGTTGAGAAAATTGCACACCTTCTTCTTCTTTTTCAGCTGGCACTTGCTCGTCGTTGATTTGATTTTGTATTTATATATATCTTTCTACATATATATATATATTTTATTATTTTTTATATATTTTTTTTGTTATATTACAGTTGCTTTATGAATTTTGTAATTTAATTGAATTTTTGGACTTTTGTTTTTGTTATTTGTTTTTTTTTTTCTGTTGCTTTTGTTGTTTTGAATTTAGCATTAATTTGCTGCCGCTGTGCGTCAGTTATTGACGGTACCACTCCCTTCTTCTACTACGGTGCGCTACGTTTTCACAGTTACCGTTCACGTCACAGTTGCTAAACTGAACGCTGTGTGTGTGTAATTTACAGCGAGTGTGCGTGATTTCGGGTCAGCAGCAAAGCCAAAAGCAACTACACTTTGGTGGTGGTGGTGGTGGCGTTGGTGGTGTCGTTTAATGGGCAAGGGTGAAAGCTTTAGCTGTGCAGGGTTGCGCAGATCTTAGTGCATAGGGCTAGAGCTAATACTTGTTTCGTGTTCTTCTTCTTCTTCTGCTTTGGTTCCGTCTTTGATTTGTGTAGATCGATAGGCCGCGCTTTTAATGCCAACAGCAACCAACACAAAGACACAACAAGTAGCCAAGCAGCAGCAGCAGCAGCAGTAGCCGAAGCCAGAGCTAGAGCTAGAGCCACCCCCGAAAGACAATCAACAAGCAATGCGCAGACGCACTCGCTCTGCTTTTAGCAACAAATGTAACGAGAGCACTCACACACACATACGCCTACACACGCATAGCAAGCAGAGGCAAGCACACACACTTGTGGATTGCCGAAAATTATGCAACAGCAGCAGCAGCAGCAGCAGCAGCAACAGCAGCAGCAGCAGCAGCAGTCGAATGGGCAGGCAATCGTTCATTTGGAGGGTTGCTATAAGCAGGGCTTGGGGTTGGTATTTGAAGGGTGGTGGGCTTTGGGCGTGTGTTTTGATGTCTGCCACTTGGCTGCCTAGCTGCCAAAAATACCTAAAAACAATGTTCCCAGCAATGAGAAATGGGGCGCTAACTTAAGCTGAATTATGGTTAGATATGAAGAGCTGCAGCACAAAAGACAACACACACACACACAGACACTCACACACATGTGAGCTGGTTAAAGCATTTAATTTGATTATTTTGCATTTGCACAATTGCCGCATGGCTTTTCTCTGTGTGTAACCGAAAAGCTGACACACAAGTTGGCCAGCAGCTTCACTAACTATGCCGGTTAGAACAATGGCCAGAACGAGGCATTCAGCCGCATCCACAGCGAGTTGTTTCTCCCGGTCCCATACAGCCGCCGTTCCCGGCTCCCGCCTGCTGCCTGTTGTCCCTTTTTCGAACATTTTGAGGTTTTGGGCTTTATTTCGTTACGTTTCGTTTGGTTTGGTTTGCTCTGTTTGCACAGTGCCAAACCAAAATCAAAAAAAGGGAACGACAACGAGGACAACAACAACAGACAGCAAGGACGTCATGGGCCGTGGCCCTGTGGCCCATTGCTATTGCTATTATTATGGCCATAGCCGAACTTCCATGTCCCTTGTGGTTTTTTCTTTCGCTGCTCCCCAGTCTGGGCCCGGGTCCGTTGCGTTGACATCAACGCTTCCGTTGCGAGCTTCCTTATTATTCCTGTCACTAAGCCGCCCTTTAAATTCGCAATGAATGCCAAACAGTTAAATGTTTTTCGAGCTGCGGAAGTGCAACCAAAAACACCCGAAGCGGGGGGCATTTGGCTGGGGTGGGCTCGGGCGCAACCCTCAAGGTTAACAGCAACAGGAGCAGGACGCGGCCAGCCGAAGACGGCAGCTCGCTGTGTGAATGTCCTGCCGCGATGCGGTTTGGCTGCCGCGGTTAGTTTGACCCTTTTATGGCGCCTTGTTATGCTTACATTTTTCGTCAAACGCTAATGGAGCTTAAAAAGTTGTCAAAAGCGGCGCGGGATTTATATTTTAATTTCACAGCGCCAAATAGGAAATGAAATGGGCCTGCAACCAGATGGGCAGGAGATGGGCAGGAGACAGACAATGGGACTGCGAGCGCCCCTCTTAGCAAATCAGACGCCAATCGCTGTCAGTCAACAGCTACAGAGTCCTTCTGCTTTACAGAGTCCTTCGTCCAGGGGCCAGCTCCATTTATTGCCATATGCTGACGACAGTGTTGCTGGCGGCAATCGAGCGAGCGTCTACGAAACGGCGACGGGGGCCAATTTGAGCTGTCATAAAAATGTACAACAACTGGCAACAAAGCAAACAATGCGACGAGTGCCAACAGCAACAGCAACAGCAACACAAACACACAACACACAAAACGCCAACAGCAACAGCTACAACAACAACGTCAGCTATGGCCGCATTCAGCAATTGTGCAAACAAATTGCTG